CCTCATTTGCTCTGCATTCCATTGGTGATAAGTAGTTTCTACTTGAGCAGCTTCTTCCTGCAAACCACTTCTCTGTGGAACCAACTCCCAAGAGGATGTTTACCCAATCACTACAATCTTAACCTAGGATTAATGTTTATCTTCCCCACATATACACATAAAATTTGCCTCTTAATCTGTAACTCTCTACTTTGAACTTCACTTTCAAAAAAAAAAACAAAACACATAACTGAGAGTGTGGTTTGAGTGTGAATTTTCTGTTGGTATGTTGGATAATGTTTTAGTAAGTAACTGTGTGTATGTAGATATATATAAGAGATATAAAGAGAGAGATTGGTCAATACACTAACACATGCTCAATGATTGTGCTAGTCAACATGACTGAGAGCTTGGGTGTACTAGCCTTGTTCAACTATTGGTCATGCCACAATATGCACTCTCTCGGAAACTGTAACTAAGGTTCACTCAGCATAGTTGCAGTATAAGTGACAGTGTGGCATTGTGGGTGTCACAAGAAACTCAAGCATGCCTAAGCAGGTATCTGTAACAAGGATAAGTGAGCAGCTATAGTAAACTCCATACTCTCCCAAGACTGACAGATTTCTATATATATATATATATATATATATATATATATATATAAACAAAAACTAAAAATTCTTGAAGCTATATATATAAAACAGTTGAAACCTAATCTGAACAAAATAAACTACAAAATCTCCACAAATATTCTTAAATGCTTATAATTGATAACAGAAGCCATTGGTTTATACCAACAGTTTCCCATACTTAATACTTCTCATTTTCATTCTCGTGTGGTCATGTGTGACGTCATGAGCTGTGATGCGATTTTCGCTTCCGTGTCTCGTATACACCAGTTTGTTGTTGCTTTGAAATTTTTCATGCAACAAAAACAGATTATCATTATTGTTTTGTCCGTGTATTGTTTGATATATTGAAAAATGTAATTGTCATCTTTGATAATGGCTTATGTAAGCTGAAAGCTTAGACAGGATTAAAAAACATGTATCAATATGGTGATTTCAGTAGGCAGTAGAATCTTTTGAGGTTTTTAGCTGCATTTTATCTAGAGACTGTGTCTTGATGAAAACACTCATCCTCCAGTATTAGAAATCATATTGCAGGATAACCCACACATATATTAGTATATATAAATGGTTCAAAAATAATATCAATATCAAAGACACTGCAAGATAACTAGTTATCTCCCTCGCACTAGCAACATGAAAAGTTGGATATTATAAACAAATAATATGCAAATATGTGTGGCACATATTGTATATATGATGGCTATCAACTCATTATGACCGTTGTTGACAAGATAAATCTATGATTGCAGTTTTGAATTGGCTTTTTTTTTCAAGAGTTGTTGCCATTTACGACTCTAGAATGCAGTTCTGTCCTGCTATGTAACACATACCTGTGGAAGATGAGATAGCTTCATAGATTTCTCAAGGGTATTTGCATCCAAAAGATTATAATGAATCCAACTGGAATTTGAAACTGGCTCTCTTTGATTTCTGATTTTGAGCTGCTTTTCATTACACCACATGTGCATACATTGTATACATGCATACAAATATCACTATATGGATAAATAAATTCAAGGTTTGCACATGCTTAAATGTATGAGAATATAATGTCCATATATATATATATATATATATTCAAAAATTATAATATAAGCATGTTATAACATGACTACAAAAATATCCATTTTGTTTTAACACTTCTGGTGTCTTGTCTGTTTACTATATATATATATATATATATATATATATATATATACACACTTCCTTATCTCTTTTCTAGCTCATGCCAATTCTGACACAAGGGGAACAGATAAAGTTTTTGAAAAATAAATATATGGAATAAAAAAAAATAGATTTTTTTCCCACAAAGATTGAAGCCAAATATATAATGGCATGTGTCACATTGGAAAATTAAACAAGAAAAGATTTTATCTCAAGGATTCATTTTCTAATTTTACCTTCATGAAATAGTTGAAATAAAATTTGCAAAAATAAAATAAAAAGTATTTCTTTCATTTTGTGTGTGGATATTTTTTAGGAGACTAAAAGCTAAGCAATTGATAAGTTTTCATAACAAATTCATACATAGTCATAAGGAAGGCTAAAAATTCAATTCTGACAGTTTAGATATTTCTGAACATGTTTAATACAATGCCCATATGAAAGTCTTGATCTGACAAGTCTGTTTAAGAACCTAACTCTAGTTTTTAGGTTAATGTTTAGGTTTTGTAGCAACATGCAGTGTTGTGTGAAACTAACCCAAGCACTACATATTCCATGTTCAAGTTCTTTATCTCCTATGCTAAATTTAAAAAACCGATCCCTACATTGAGGTATTTAAAGTGTTTAGTATTTAAATTGTTTAGTATTTACTAATTTCATATCCTGAATTTTTACGATGGATTCAGGGTATGTGCTATTATTGTTTTCATTCCAATTCCAGATCATTTTTTCTGTTTTGGAAAAATTTATCTTGAGTGCTATTTCTCAGAATGCTAGGTAGAGGATGGTGATTTTTTGTTCAAGATCATTTTATACTAACTATGAATGTGTATGTCGTCAGCATAGCGGCCTAACAGGTTGGAGAATGTGTGAAATGATGGGGCGGGGTTTCCATCCTAACTTTTTGTTTGGAGTAGCAGGAAACATCAACATCTTGATTATGTAATTATTCTCTCTTCAAGCCAATTGTGCTATCCATTTTAGTTGTTGCTGCTGTTGCTAGTCCTCAATTGATATGGTTTCTGTTATCTGGTACATTTCTTTGTTTGTGATTCTGTAGCACAAATCTGCAAGGTTCAATGATGGATGGTCTTCACCAAGAACCACAGGCTTCACTTTCTCAAAGCCATTTTTAAGCATTGATTTTAGAAAGCGGTTATATACAGCTGACAGTTTAGATATTTATGAACAGGGTTGGCACCTTGCATATCATCCATATGAAAGTCTCAATCTGACAATTCTATTTAAGAACATGACTTGAGCTTTCAGGTCAATGTGTTGGTTTTGTAGCAACATGCAGTGTTGTGTGAAACTAGCCTGAGCACTACATATTCCATATTCAATTTCCTTATCTCCTATGGTAAATTTGTTACAACTGATCCCTACATTGATGTATTTAAAGTGTTTAGTATTTACTAATTTCGTATCTTAAATTTTTATGAAGGATTCAGAATAGGCGATGGCATCTTTTATTCTATGGACAATATTTGTTACCCCACATAGAGAATGAACTTATATGCTTTTCTGGATTAACCTGTCTTCCCTGCTGGTTCAGACCAAGTAGCTCAATTTAAGGTAGTTGTTTTTCTCTAGTTGGATAATACTTTCTGTTGCCTGGTGAATTCTTGTCAGAGTAATTTAGTAACAGACTGACTTTATGTTGCCTGGTGAATTCTTGTCAGAGTAATTCAGTAATGGACTGACTTTCTGTTGCCTGGTGAATTCTTGTCAGAGTAATTCAGTAACGGACTGACTTTATGTTGCCTGGTGAATTCTTGTTAGAGTAATTCAGTAACGGACTGACTTTCTGTTGCCTGGATAATATCCTGAGAAGAATATAACAAGTGTCATCACTACTTTCATTCCAATTCCAGACTATAGTTTCTGTTTTAGAAAGGTTTATCTTGAGTCTTATTTCATAGAACTCTTGGTAGAAGATGTTGATTTTTTTTGTTAGACTGTCTCGCCAACCCATGGTAAAGCAATACATTTATTTTTTAAAGGAAAGGGCATCTTCTAAAATGACAAATGCAGTCATTATGGAAAAGTGAAGCAAGACTAATGAGTACAAGAAACAATGTCATCTAATATCTTAATGATGGACAAACATGGATATCTATATTTTAGAAATGCCATACTGAATGCTGCACTCATTAAGAAATGCTTAATGGATGACTTATACATGTTTCTGTCTCATTGCTACAGTTTTGGCACATGTTCTGCTTGCTACTCCACCCCACAGACTCCATGTTTTCTATTCCGTGACAGCTGATATAAAAATGGAAGGTGAATGATTTAAACAACAGAAATTTGATATCATTCGTGATGGCAAATACGTTGCACAAAGTCTAGATGTTTACTTCTTAGTACAGAATTCTCAATTCTTGAGAGTATTTAAGTGATAAAAAAATGTGAGAGAGGAAGATAATGGGTAGGAAAGACAATGAAAGAGAAAGAGAGTAAGGAAATGTGTTGGAAAGAGTGAAACAATGAGCAAGAATGGGAGCAAGTGAGAGAAAAGAGGAAGAAAATAATAAGAGAGGGAGAGAAAAGAAAAGAGAGTGAAAGTGGGAAACAACAAGAGAGAGAGTGAAAGTGGGAAACAACAAGAGAGAGAGTGAAAGTGGGAAACAACAAGAGAGAGAGTAAAAGTAGGAAACAACAAGAGAGAGAGAGAGTGAAAGTGTAAAACCAAGAGAGAGAGAGAGAGTGAAAGTGTAAAGCCACAAGAGAGAGAGAGTGAAAGTTTGGAAAAACAAGAGAGAAGGAAAGTGAAAGTTTGGAAAAACAAAAGAGAAAGAGAGTGAAAGTTTGGAAAAACAAGAGAGAGAGTGAATATTTGGAAAAACAAGAGAGAGAGAGTGAATGTTTGGAAAAACAAGAGAGAGAGAGTGAATGTTTGGAAAAACAAGAGAGAGAGAGTGAATGTTTGGAAAAACAAGAGAGAGAGAGTGAATGTTTGGAAAAACAAGAGAGAGAGAGTGAAAGTGTAAAACCACAAGAGAGAGAGAGAGAGAGTGAAAGTTTGGAAAAACAAGAGAGAAAGAGTGAAAGTTTGGAAAAACAAGAGAGAGAGAGAGAGAGTGAATATTTGGAAAAACAAGAGAGAGAGAGAGTGAATATTTAGAAAAACAAGAGAGAGAAAGAGCGAGAGTGAAAGTTTGGAAAAACAAGAGAGAGAGAGTGAATATTTGGAAAAACAAGAGAGAGAGAGAGAGTGAATATTTAGAAAAACAAGAGAGAGAGAGAGTGAATATTTAGAAAAACAAGAGAAAGAGCGAGAGTGAAAGTTTGGAAAAACAAGAGAGAGAGAGAGAGAGCGAGTGAAAGTTTAGAAAACAAGAGAGAGAGAGAGAGAGAGAGAGAGTAAAAGTTTGGAAAAACAAGAGAGAGAGAGTGAAAGTTTGGAAAAACAAGAGAGAGAGTGAGAGAGAGTGAAAGTTTGGAAAAACAAGAGAGAGAGAGAGAGGAAAGTTTGGAAAAACAAGAGAGAGAGAGTGAAAGTTTGGAAAAAAAGAGAGAGAGAGAGTGAAAGTTTGGAAAAACAAGAGAGAGAGAGAGGAAAGTTTGGAAAACAAGAGAGAGAGAGAGTGAAAGTTTGGAAAACAAGAGAGAGAGAGAGAGGAAAGTTTGAAAAAAAAAGAGAGAGAGAGAGTGAAAGTTTGGAAAAAAAGAGAGAGAGAGAGGAAAGTTTGGAAAAAAAGAGAGAGAGAGAGGAAAGTTTGGAAAACAAGAGAGAGAGAGGAAAGTTTGGAAAAACAGAGAGAGAGAGGAAAGTTTAGAAAAACAAGAGAGAGAGAGGAATATTTGGAAAAACAAAGAGAGAGAGAGAGAGTGAATATTTGGAAAAACAAGAGGGAGAGAGAGTGAAAGTTTGGAAAACAAAAGGAGAGAGAGAGAGGAAAGTTTGGAAAAACAAGAGGGGAGAGAGAGAGGGAAAAAAGAGAGAGAGAGGAAAGTTTGGAAAAACAAGAGAGAGAGTGAAAGTTTGGAAAAACAAGAGAGAGAGAGAGTGAAAGTTTGGAAAAACAAGAGAGAGAGAGAGTGAAAGTTTGGAAAAACAAGAGAGAGAGAGAGTGAAAGTTTGGAAAAACAAGAGAGAGAGAGAGAGTGAAAGTTTGGAAAAACGAGAGAGAGAGAAAGTGAAAGTTTGGAAAAACGAGAGAGAGAGTGAAAGTTTGGAAAAACGAGAGAGAGAGAGTGAATGTTTGGAAAAACAAGAGAGAGAGAGTGAAAGTTTAGAAAAACAAGAGAGAGAGAGTGAATATTTGGAAAAACAAGAGAGAGAGAGTGAATATTTGGAAAAACAAGAGAGAGAGAGTGAATATTTGGAAAAACAAGAGGGAGAGAGAGTGAAAGTTTGGAAAAACAAAAGGGAGAGAGAGAGAGTGAAAGTTTGGAAAAACAAGAGGGAGAGAGAGAGAGTGAAAGTTTGGAAAAACAAGAGAGAGAGAGTGAAAGTTTGGAAAAACAAGAGAGAGAGAGTGAAAGTTTGGAAAAACAAGAGAGAGAAAGTGAAAACAACAAGAGAGAGAAAGTGAAAACAACAAGAGAGAGAAAGTGAAAACAACAAGAGAGAGAAAGTGAAAACAACAAGAGAGAAAAAGTGAAAACAACAAGAGAGAGAAAGTGAACGCAACAAGAGAGTGAAAGTGAAAGCAACAAGACAAAGAGTGATGCTTAAAAACAAAAGTGAGAGAATGAATGTTTCAAAACAACAAGAGAGAATGAAAATGTGAAAACAAGAGAGAATTAGAAAGAATGTAAAACAGCAAAAGAGATACAAAAAGTTAAAGTGAGAAAACATGAAAGAAACAGAGAGAGAAAGCAACAAAAGGCAGTGAAAGAGAGAGAAAACAACAAAAGGCAGAGAAAGAGAGAGAAAACAACAAAAGGCAGGAAAAGAGAGAAAACAACAAAAGGCAGAGAAAAGAGAGAAAGCAACAAAAGGCAGTGAAAAGAGAGAAACAAAATTGGCAGAGAAAGAGAGAGAAAGCAACAAAAGGCAGAGAAAGAGAGAGAAAGCAACAAAAGGCAGAGAAAGAGAGAGAAAGCAACAAAAGGCAGAGAAAGAGAGAGAAAGCAACAAAAGGCAGTGAAAGAGAGAGAAAACAACAAAAGGCAGAGAAAGAGAGAGAAAGCAACAAAAGGCAGTGAAAGAGAGAGAAAGCAACAATTGGCAGAGAAAGAGAGAGAAAGCAACAAAAGGCAGAGAAAGAGAGAGAAAGCAACAAAAGGCAGAGAAAGAGAGAGAAAGCAACAAAAAAGGCAGAGAAAGAGAGAGAAAGCAACAAAAAGGCAGAGAAAGAGAGAGAAAACAACAAAAGGCAGAGAAAGAGAGAGAAAGAGAGAAAGCAACAAAAGGCAGTGAAAGAGAGAGAAAACAACAATTGGCAGAGAAAGAGAGAGAAAACAACAAAATGCAGAGAAAGAAAGGGAAAGCAACAAAAGGCAGAGAGAGAGAAAGAGAGAGAAAACAACAAAAGGTAGAGAAAGAAAGGGAAAGCAACAAAAGGCAGAGAGAAAGAAAGAGAGAGAAAACAACAAAATGCAGAGAAAGAAAGGGAAAGCAACAAAAGGCAGAGAGAGAGAGAGAAAGAGAGAGAAAACAACAAAAGGCAGAGAGAAAGAGAGAGAAAGCAACAAAAGGCAGAGAAAGAGAGAGAAAGCAACAAAAGGCAGAGAAAGAGAGAGAAAGCAACAAAAGGCAGAGAAAGAGAGAGAAAGCAACAAAAGGCAGAGAAAGAGAGAGAAAGCAACAAAAGGCAGAGAAAGAGAGAGAAAGCAACAAAAAAGGCAGAGAAAGAGAGAGAAAGCAACAAAAGGCAGAGAAAGAGAGAGAAAGCAACAAAAGGCAGAGAAAGAGAGAGAAAGCAACAAAAGGCAGAGAAAGAGAGAGAAAGCAACAAAAGGCAGAGAAAGAGAGAGAAAGAGAGAGAAAGCAACAAAAGGCAGAGAGAGAGAGAGAGAAAGAGAGAGAAAACAACAAAAGGCAGAGAAAGAGAGAGAAAGCAACAAAAGGCAGAGAAAGAGAGAGAAAGCAACAAAAGGCAGAGAAAGAGAGAGAAAACAACAAAAGGCAGAGAAAGAGAGAGAAAACAACAAAAGGCAGAGAAAGAGAGAGAAAGCAAGGAAAAGGCAGAGAAAGAGTATGAAACAAGAGACAAACAGAGCGAAATAGAAGAAAAAAATTAGATAAGCAATAAACCAACAAAAAACAAAGTTGGCAGCAAAAGATGAAAATGAAAGTAAAAACAGAATCCTGTAAATAATAAAAAAAAACTTCAACTAATGAAGATAACCTTCTTGAAGATTCCATAAATCTGATATTAAAAGGAAATAGGACATGTAGATATCAGAAACCATACATATCCCCGATTGGAAGTAATTGTGTATTTGGATAGCAATCCCACTTTTATACATGCTTCAGTGAAAATGAAAACGTACTTCTGTTTAGTTTTTATTATACTTTTGCTTCTGTGTGAACAAGAGTTTTGTTTCTTGAACATAATCTATAGAGAAATTGACCAAATGACAGTTTATTCCTACAGTTTTTTTTATGTCAGCTATTTTTAAGGGTTTTAGTTGTGTTATTCGAAATGGAGCTGAAAAGTAGACAGGATTATAATTCTTGAACATGGCCAGTACATGACAGCTGGTTTTATAATTGATATTATTAAGGCTTGGTTTTCTGTTTTGTTTTGTTTTTTTATGATAAAGGCTTCAATAATATTTCAACATTTTCTATAGTTCAAGTTTGTGCAATTTATAAGTATTTTACACATTGCTGTTGATATATTTTTGTATTGTTTATATATTGTAAAAACATGATAAAAATGAACAGAGGTACCTTGCCAGTCATTTTCAATAAAACACACACACACATATATATATATATATATATATATATATATATATATATATATATAAATGGAGGCATGGTGTGTATATATATATATATGTGTGTGTGTGTGTATATATATATATATATATATAAAATGGAGGCAGTGTGTGTGTGTGTATACATATATATATATATATATATATATAAATAAATGGAGATAGTATGTGTGTATATATATATATATATATATATATATATATATATATAAATGGAGGCACGGTGTGTGTGTGTGTGTTTGTATATATATATATATATATATATATATATAAAATGGAGGCATAGTGGAGTAATGGTTAGCTGCTTGGATTGAGGAATTGGAGAGCTGAGTTTGAATTCCAGTTGAATCCATTATATTCACTTATGTGCTAGTACCCTTGGGAAAGGTATTAATCCTCTTCTCCCCCCCCCGGCCAGGTATGGGCAAATAGCAGGACATATTGGGTTCAATAGCCTTGGATAGCAATTGGTCAAGGACATGGACAACTCTGAATTTAAATCCTGCAGAGGGTTGTTTGGGGACCTTGTGGCATGCAGTGCACCAGGTCTCTGTATTTGGCCCTTCAAAAAGTGTGGTTGGTTCTGCATATAATGTTCACCACTATAATCAAATCTCATCTGCTGGTTTTCTGGCTGTTGGTTCCGAGGAACTGATCTGCTTGACACTCATACGTTGCAGACAACGTGCGAGTCAAGTATATATAAAATACACAAAAAACATGCGATATTCACAAAAAATACCACTAAATCTGAGACACACACATACTAATGTAAACAAAATATAAACACATCTACCTAACCAATGAAAACAAGCAATACTGAAACATTCTCAGTGTTACCCACATTAGCAGAAAATTTCTGGTGAAGCTAAAATAAAAGTAGCTAAACATTTAAAATTTATAAAGTTTCGCAATTTTTTAATTATTTAATCATTCTACTAGCTTTAATGCATATATATATATACATATACATACATACATATATATATATAAACTCACCACACTACAGCAGTTTCACCTCTTGGTGATTCATGAGATTGAACTACATTAATGCGGTTACCAGCCTGAAGATCTGAGAAATGAAACTGCATTCATGTGGTGAGACAACTACATTTTTTTAAGATAAACTTTATAAACATATTGCTCTGCAGCTTAGGTATTGAGCACTTTTTGGAATCTGCTAGAACCATTCAATTTCAGGGTATTTTGTTCCATAACTGATTTAAATTTGTGTGTAAATACATATATTTTAGGAATGGATTTTTCATTTATTAAACAGTATATTTATTTATTTCCATCTACAGATCTGAAGATTTGAGAAATATTATTAGAAAAATATGCCACATTGTTTGTGTATACTGGCCTGTACACTTGAGAAAAATAATAAAGATAATGTGCAGGATTTAAATAAGAGATTATCCACTAAAAATAATATTTGAAGCAATAAAAATAAGTTGGATTAAAAAGTAAAATCTATTTCATTCCCTAAGTCTACAGCTAGGCAAGTTGGTTCACTTTATTGTGCTATTTAGAGATCTTTGATAAAATCCAAAGAAGGATCTGCAATGTCATTGGTCCTGACCTGGCATCTTGACTTCAGTCACTTTCCTACTGCTGTAATGTCACTTCCCTGTGCCTTTTCTATAAATACTTTCTTGGTAATTGTTCTATGGTAGCTAGACTTTATGAATTTAAGTGCAGTACTAGATTGGCAGCTAGGTCTCGTCATTTTACAGTTGAAATTGCTAGATGTAACTCTAAGTTCTATTCTAACAGCTTCTTTCCTTGCACTTCTCTATTGTGGAACTCTTTTGGCATCTTACTTTCCAGTCAAGTTTGATCTTCAAAAATTTAAAAGTAATGTATTTCATGGTTTTCTGTCTTCTTAATTCCTGTTCTTTTATTGGTTTTGCTCCTTAATATTTTTTTCCTTTTTCTGGTATTCTTTTATACTTAATATTTCCCTGTGTCTTAGTGGATTTATTGCCTTGCATGGTTGAAATGATTATATATATAAGGTGAATGAAAAGTAGCAGTCAGATTCTGGAAATACATGTTGTTGTTAATTTTCTTGCAGTAGATTAATTTTCTTTCTTAATTCTTTCTATAATTAGTGTAAATAATTAATTCTTTTTGTCTTTGTATTGCAAGTTCCTGCTGAGAGTTTCTGATTCTGCACCAAATTGAACCCTGTATTAACTTTCAATAAATCAACGCATTGCGGCTGTGAAACATTACAACAAAATGTAGTGCAAATCAATCAATGGTGGCATGCTCTTTGGTCCAAGACCTTGTTTATCATAAAAAAAGCCTTGTACCATTGAGAAACTGAAGGCTCAAATCATTGCTATGTTTAAGGAAATTGATATTGAACTCTGTGAATGCGTGTGTGATTCCGTGCTTGCCTGCTTCAAATGTGCATCGATCATGAGGGTCGGCACTTTGAACCTTGCAAGGGAAACAGCGTGTTACAGTTCCTTAATAATTTTCCCCCAAAATAAGTGGTTAGATAAAAATATTCTTCATTGATTTCTACCTTCTTTTACACTGCAATACAAATGACAAACAAACAATCAATTGAGAACAAAAAAAAGCAATGATCAGATGCTAACTTTGGCTCACTCTTCATGTGTGTGTGTGTGTGTATGCTAGCATGAAGTCACAGGTCATCATGACTGAGGTTTTGAATGTACTGGCTTTGTTCTAACTGGTGATGTCAGATTAAACACACTCAATCAGAAACTGAAATCACTGGTACCCCGACTAGATGAATTTAAGCATGCTACTAGATTGGCATCTAGGTCCCACCCATTAAAATAGCTAAATACAACTGCCACTTCTACTCCAACAGTTTCTTTTCCCACACTTCATGCCTGTGGAACTCCCTTTCATTTACTTGCTTCCCTGATAACTATAATCTTAAGAAATTTAAATGCAATGTCAAATTTTTCTATCTTCTTGAATCCTGTTCATCTTTCGTCATTTCCTCAATCCTCCTTATACCTAGTCTTTTCACTCACTTTTGCTCCCTGTAACCTTCTGCATACAAGCGACATTCCTGCCTTGCATGGGATGAAATCATTAAAAACAAAATTTCTGCTTTGGCATAGTTGCAGTTTAAACCACAAGTTAGCTCTGTTGGTGTTATCAAACCCAAATGTGGCTGAGTAGGTAATCTACAACAGCCATCCTAGTAAACAGGCACACTTAGATATGAACAGCCAACCAAATATAATGTCTAAAATTTGATCTCTTTAAAGGGGAAGAATTCTCAATATCAGAAATGCAGCATTTATAGACAAAATTTGTTATACTGGTATGACTACACATGCACTCAAATGAAGGATGCTGGGAATTTAAAAATTTGTTTTTAATCTGACTGATTTCATTCAGATTCTTTTTCTTTTTCATCATTTTTGTTAGTAAATATTCCACACTGTGATAATAGAAGCTCTGCCAGAAATGTTCTATGAGCCAGAGCACAAATTTACTGTAGATGACCTTGTAATCAAGGCATTCTGTAGACATTTTTGTCAGAGTGAATTGTTTCTCCTTTGATCAAAGTAGCATTTTTTATTTAAAAATTGTGGTCAATCTCATTATAGTGGGCAACCAACACAATTGATGTCCTGTTTGCGTTCATGTAATCTTTTATATATATATATATATATATATATATATATATATATATATTGTAGACTCTCCTGTCATTGATCAACGTGGGCTGTTGACCTGCGCTTACTGGGAATTCTTTTACAATGTATGAGGAGCAGGCAACTCAGTTACTAGAAACCTGTTGTAGAGTAGTTTCACAGTGGAGGCTTGTATTTGTACTAAGTCAGTTCTAAAATAAGTTCGACGTACAAAACCATTAGGAACTTGATATAATAGGTAATGACGCAGAGAAATCTGGTTGTGGTGGCTGATACTTTAATCCAACATCGACTGACTGACCAACTCCCTGAGCGACCCCTAATACTCCTACTTATTATAGGTGGGAAAGTCTATTAACTATAGAATAGGTGTGTTCCACTATAACAAAACCGATAGCCAGAAAACCTGCACATATCACTCAATTATAGTGGTGAAGATTTTGTGCAGAACCATCCACACTTTTTGAAGAGCCGAATACAGAGACTTGGTGTTTCGATACATGACTGACGAGGCAGATTTTTTTTCCCACAGTAGGTTGCCATTTCTTTCTGGGGTAGACCAGTTGCCATCCAAGGCTATAGAACCTGGTCTGTCCTGCTATTTACCCATAGCTGTGGGGAGAAGATGAGGATTCATACCTTTCCCAAGGGTATTAGCATGTAAGTGAATGTAATGGATTCGACTGGAATTTGAACTCAGTTCTCTGATTCCTCAATCCAAGCTGCTATCCATTAGTCCACCATACATACATATGCAGAGATATAT